CCCCTCCGTTCTGCTCCGTTTTTGTTTTGTTGAGTTTTGCTTTTTTTTTTTTTAATTGCTTTCGTTGCACAGAGAATTACCTCACTTTCTGCGTTTTATGTAAAGGCATAGAGTCCCGTCAGCCTGCGTAGGCGCTGGGTAGGCGTTGTGCCCCTTTCAGAAGCCAGCTTCTCCCACCTTAACGCTGCTGCTGCTGCTGAATCTGCCCGCAGGGCCTTTCCCGCCGCTCCGCCGGAGGAGCGCGGCTGCCGCTCCCGGGAGGGAGCCCGGGCACCGCCCGGAGGAGGCCGGGCGCCTGCACGCTTGCTCCCAGCCAGCGGCCCAGCGCCGTGGCAGCAGCGCGGCCCGTCCTTAGGCGGGGAAGGGTCAGTCGCTGCCCGAGCTCTGACATGGATTACAGCAGCTTGGAGGACTTCTTGAGAGGGATAGAGGGGATGCGCAGCCTGCGGAGAGGCTTTTTCTTGAGTTACTTGTGAAACATCTAGTGTTGACACTGGCGTGCCATCTCTTAGGTATCCCGGTCACAAGCAGAACCCAGCGGGGGTTCTGGTGTAAAGAGAACAACATGATGCCTTCCCCGAAAGAATTACAGTCCGTCTTTGTACCTCCTTGAGATGCAGCAATACAAACTACGTAGGTTTTTTAGTTCTGAAGTTTAGTAAACAGCTGGAGAAGATGAAGCATTAAACCTTGTATTCTATTCTAGCATCTTGCACTGAGGCATATTCAGGCAATTCTTTATACCCACTTCAATAGTCCGGGACCATTATGTTTAAGATCAAGCCAAGGAGTTCTTAGACTCAGGGCATCCATGGAGCACCATCAATTTGAGCTTTTATTTCTGTTTTCCTTGTTTAATACCTGTCATAAAACATGGAATTTAAGTCACTTTCAGACTGAAAATATTTTACTTTTAAGGCTTGGTATTTAGAATGACAAATTTTCCAGAAGGACAAAAGCAGAATCTATCGATGAAGCAAGGTCATGCTTGTTAGATAATTCAAACGCTAGAGATTTAAATTACTATGATTAATTAGAAAGTTGACTGCTGAAATGAAACAATCAGTTCTTTTGTCTTTGGACAGGATTTTAAATACTGAACATTAGTCATCAGTCATGTGAGGATTTAAACAAGCACTTAGCTTTATGCAATTTGAGTGATTAGTTCTATTCAAGTGAATAGTACTGTGCAGAGCCTGTAAGCTTTAGCACATCTCAAACCCCCAATTGTACAAAGCTTTAGCATGTGACCTGAAAAGTGAATTTTTTTTTTTAAGGCTGTTTCCTAAGGAACAGTGTTTATGCAGTCACGTGTGTCTATCATCCACTCTTTCACATCATTGGGGGAAGGGGAATGGTCACCAGCTTGTTGGCCGATTTCAGTTACTTTTCACAGAAGAATGGAAATTTAAAAACCAATTTAGCCTGTACATATTTGGTGAAAATAAGTGGCTCTGTGTAAGAGAGATCTTTTGCTTGCATGATGAAAGCCGCTGCAGGAGCTGAAATACTAGATACTACAAAACCTTTATTTAAATTAAAAAGAGAAAACATAATACCCAATTATCCACTTAGACAAAAAGGTTCAACTAAGACTTGTGATCAACCCAAAGGTGAGCCATTAGTAACTGAGTTTTGTTGGGTGTTCAGGGAGCTTTTAAAGGAAAAGAAAACAAATCTAAATCTGTTCCTTTTGTGGGCATTATCTGAGGTCTGCTAATGAAGACCCGTGTTTTAATACCAAGTACATCATTAAACTGGGGGGGTTTCAAATATCTGCTTGTATAAAGCTTGCCTTTTGGGAGCATGCTTGCTTAGGTCCTGCAAAATTCACCCTCTTTTGGGTGTTCATCTGCTGCACACTCTTCCTGGAACTGAAAATGTTCATCCTAGAAGAACCTGTGCATAAAACCAGTGATAGGCCTACACATATATATCTTCCTGTTTTCTGTTAGCAAAATAAGATGATAACCAACATATATTGATAGTGTAGCCTAGAAAATAAGGTTAAAGGCTTTGTGCTGCCTGTTTCCTTTGCTTTCTAGCATAAAAATGGGAATAGAAGCTAAAAGGCATTTGGAGTCCACCTACCACAGAAATTAGGCTGTAACATGGGAAGCAAGAATTAGATCATAAATATCACCATATAGGAAAGAAACAAAAAGAAAGATACCAGAATGGAAAAAAAAATCAGGTAAGATACTATATTTTTAAGAAAAGTCCAAGCACTAACAATATCCCTATTTAGTCTTACTGTGCACCAAATACTTTAAGATGGTAATATATCTCTGATCTCAAAAATAATAACATAGTAAGAATCTCCAAGCACCACCCACAGACTCTTGTCTTTGCTTCCTCTTTATTAGTAAAATAATTGCACCTGTGGAATGTGAGGCACTTGTTTGGCAGCCTTTTTTTTTAAGCTTACTTTGCACCGGTGTGAAGAGTTACATAGCATTCAAAACAGTGAATAAGGCCCAGAGAAATTTAAGTTGTATTTGCTGGTAAGCCACTCTTACCAGAAGGAGCGTTTCAAGAGAGAGCTGGCAGGTTTGAACCCATCTTGACAGAGCATTTTTATTACTTTCTAACAGGAGGGAAAATATTTGGATTTGACTCAAGTCTAAGTGCTTGATTTCATCGTGATTCTGTATTGTACTAACACATGATCTCTTGTGTATCTTTGTACCAACAAGTATCTTACAAGCACTAAATCTTTTACATGGGTGTTTAGGGAGGCTTTAAGGGATTGAGAGTTTCTCACTGACTGACCTCCTCCACTGGAGCTGCTTTGACCTCGTTGCAGGCTGCGGTGTAAGATGCTGCTGTGACCTACTCTCCTCCCACAGACCAGGCACGCGCACTGCTCTGTCAGTTTGCTGGAAAAAGCTAGGGTATAGCAGCAGGGTATAGCACCATAGGGGAATGTCTCTGACGATGTCTCCAGTTCTTTCCTCACTTTGCGACAGGAGCACAAACCTTGCGTAGGTAACATGGCTCCATGGGGAGGAGGGCAGGAAGGGAATGGCAGGAGATGGGCAAAGGTGGAGCAAGCAGAGTCAGTGAGCTGGGCTGAGCAGAGCAGCATTGTGTCTGTTCATTTGGAAATTTGTCAGTGTGGAGCGTATGGAAAATTGCAGTACAAAACGTGGGTGTCAGTCCACTGCCTGCCAGTACTGTCAGGCTGATGTAGTGTAACCAATGAATTTTAAATATATACTCATTTGTTACTTGAGTGCTAACAGAGATTTTATTTGGTGTCCCTATGCAGGAGTCAAATCTATTGAAGATTTTTGCTATTTATGAGTTTGTGCGTTTTTTTTTTTTTTCTGGGATTTTATGTAGTTTGGAATTTAAAATAGCAAGTGCCTGGACTTCTGTGTGGAATCATGATGTTGGTTCTCCACTTGGACCTTGTCACCTTTCAAATCAAGTTCACATATGAGTTCAAAAGGTAAACATTCCAAGGGGACGGCATTTTAGCTTCCACTTAACACCAAAGTATGTAGCTACTCTGAGTGTAAGGCAACAAAGAGTCAAGGTCAATATGTTAACAAGGCCAGCTGTAAGGTGACTCTAAATTTCCTCTTATTTAAAGGAGAGAAAATGCTCTCCATGGAAAAATAGTGTGAGAATCAGTGAGATTATCTTCCTCATGTATTACCTGAAACATGAATAGAAAGGCGAGAGCTATCACAAAATATGGTCAGTTACTTCTATGTATGTTGTCACAGAAAATAAAGAAAA